CCCGTCAAGCGTCAAGTTGTCGCCGGAGAGGACCCCCATGTCCTCTCGCTTTGGCTCGTGGAGCGTTGATCCTGCCTGCAGACACCGAGAGCGATTAGATCGATGTCACGTGTAAAAGATAAGAAGCCGCCAGGAACACCTCCTGCCAGAGCCGAGGGGGCATCGAGAAAGAGGATCTGAGCTCGCCCGTCGATGTCGAAGAGACGTAGCTGAAGGTTCTCTGAGCTCCACGGCGACGCCACCAAGGGGGTGACGGCGCCACACGCCGCCATCGCCACGGCCGAAAGACAATCGAGAGTTTTCACCTGAAGCCCTGACATGGAGAGGGGGACCACAACGATGCCCCCAAGAGGGACACGATACTCACATGCATCGCCTCCACCAGCGCCAAAGAGCAAAGCTTTCGCCTAGAATCTCACCCGCGCCACCCAAGGTACCACGGTCCAAGTCTATCGCTACCAAAACAGACCTCCACAACATGATCTGGGAGGTTTCGCTGCTGAAGCACCACCACCACCAGGATTCCTGCCCCCTCCTTCCTCGCCACCCACATCACGGAGAAACACCGCCACCACCACAATGCCGCCTGCCAGAGAGCCATATACATGGCCTCGCCATCCAGGGCCACCACACCGGCATCCGAGAGGCCCAACCCTCTGCACCACCACCGGTCAAAACAGATTTTGCACAGCGAAGGAGGTCCACCACAACCCTCACCGGCGCCCCACATGTACAACCAATGAGCAATGGAAAGGGAAAGCCAGGCGGCGATAGGGGCTCCAAACCACGAACGAAAGATGGCAACCACGACCCTCAGGTCACCATCCGGCTCACCGGACCCCACCTTGCCCTAGATCTTGGCAGGGGTCTTCACCTCGGGCATTAGGCCCTCGACTTAAGGACGAGCAAGGCGGTCACCGACCCCTACCATGACCACCTCACGAAGGAGGCGGAGCCACAACCCCGCAGGCTACGACCACCAACTGGGTCAGAGAGCCTCGCCGGACCCCAGATCTGGGTCGGGGCGGGCGTAGTTCGGAGCACCACCAAGTCGATGAGAGAGACAGTAACACGGCATTGTACCTGTGGCCGCGACCATCGTCTCCCGAGCAGAGCACCTCCAGTAGCGCGACGAGGCAACCCCCACCACCGACGACAACTAGTGTTAGGGATGGCTACAAGAGAGGGAGAGAAAGGAAACCGAGAAGGATTCCACCCTGTTGCCGCCTACCCACGTCGGGACTTTGCCCTACGAGGAGCCGAAGGCGGCGAGGGAGGAAGGGCGGAAGAGAGGGTGCATGGTGACGGTGGGTTTTGGGGAGCCGCCCGTGTCACCCTTGGGGACGATGGCTGTCGATTCTATTAAAATCTTATGGTTTTAGATAGTCTTATTATCCCATCGGCTGAGGAGCCAATTGCGTGCTCCATCCCCATGTAATAACTCCCTCCCTAAACACCCGCTCGTACCTCTTCTCCCTTTTCTCACCTTGTCACTCAGGGAACCTCCCCCATCGTCGCCAACCACACCGCCCCCTCCACTCCCCGATCTTGACGATCACCTGCTGCTCACGCTGGGCGTTCGGGTTTACCCAAAAATTCGGTTCAGGTAATTCGGGTTCTAAAAAATGATACCCAAACTTTGCTCAGAAATTTTGATACCATGAAATTCGGGTTCGGTTCGGGTTTCCCCGAATTACCGGAATTAGAACAGCCAAGACCTGATGTACTCATACAGATAATCAAGAGCCACCGCCAGCCAGCAGGACAGAAGGAAGACATCCGACGTGGTGCACGCTATTGCTCCTTCGTTCCCTCTCTCACTCCAAGTCTCCAGTGTCCGCCAACAGGATATGATGGACTGAGGGATGTGGTCGGCTGATACATCTCCAACGTATCTATAATTTTTGGTTGTTCCATGCTATTATATTACCCCTTTTGGATGTTTATGGGCTTTATTTTACACATTTATATCATTTTTGGGACTAACCTACTAACCGGAGGCCCAGCCCGTATTGCTGTTTTTTTGCCTATTTCAGTATTTCGAAGAAAAAGGAATATCAAACGGAGTCCAAACGGAATGAAACCTTTGGGAGCGTGATTTTTGGAACGAACGTGATCCAGAGGACTTGGAGTGCAATTCAAGAAGCAGTTGAGGCAGCCACGAGAGGGTAGGGCGCCCCTCCTATAGGGCGCGCCCCTATCTCATGGGCCCCTCGGGCGGCCACCGACGTACTTCTTCCTCCTATATAAGCCTACGTACCCCGAAAACATCTAGGGAGCCACCGAAACACAATTTCCACCGCCGTAACCTTCTGTATCCGCGAGATCCCATCTTGGAGCCTTCGCCGGCGCTCCGCCAGAGGGGGAATCGACCACGGAGGGCTTCTACATCAACACCATAGCCCCTCCGATGAGTTGTGAGTAGTTTACCACAGACCTTCGGGTCCATAGTTATTAGCTAGATGGCTTCTTCTCTCTTTTTGGATCTCAATACAATGTTCTCCCCCTCTCTTGTGGAGATCTATTCGATGTAAACTCTTTTGCGGTGTGTTTGTCGAGATCCGATGAATTGTGGGTTTATGATCAAGTTTATCTATGAATAATATTTGAATCTTCTCTGAATTCTTTTATGTATTATTGAGTTATCTTTGCAAGTCTCTTCGAATTATCAGTTTGGTTTGGCCTACTAGATTGATCTTTCTTGCCATGGGAGAAGTGCTTAGCTTTGGGTTCAATCTTGCGGTGTTCTTACCCAGTGACAGCAGGGGTTGCAAGGCACGTATTGTATTGTTGCCATCGAGGATAAAAAGATGGGGTTTATATCATATTGCATGAGTTTATCCCTCTACATCATGTCATCTTGCTTAAGGCGTTACTCTGTTCTTATGAACTTAATACTCTAGATGCAGGCAGGAGTCGGTTGATGTGTGGAGTAATAGTAGTAGATGCAGGTAGGAGTCGGTCTACTTGTTGCGGACGTGATGCCTATATACATGATCATGCCTAGATAATCTCATAATTATTCGCTTTTCTATCAATTGCTCGACAGTAATTTGTTCACCCACTGTAATACTTATGCTATCTTGAAAGAAGCCACTAGTGAAACCTGTGGCCCCCGGGTCTATCTCTTATCATATTTGCTTCCAATTTACTTTTATTTGCATCTTTACTTTTTGCATCTATATTATAAAATACCAAAAATATATTTATCTTATCATACTATCTCTATCAGATCTCACTTTTGCAAGTGGCCGTGAAGGAATTGACAACCCCTTTATTGCGTTGGTTGCGAGTTCTTTGTTTGTTTGTGTAGGTGCGTGGGACTTTTGAGGAGCCTCCTACTGGATTGATACCTTGGTTCTCAAAAACTGAGGAAAATACTTACGCTACTATTGTTGCATCACCCTTTCCTCTTCAAGGAAAACCAACGCAAGCTCAGGACGTAGCAAGAAGGATTTCTGGCGTCGTTGCCCGGGAGGTCTTCGCTCATGTCAAGACATACCAAGTACCCATGACAAACTCAT